CCCCCTCTTCTTCCTCCTCCTCCTCCTCTCTGGTGTCCTCTACATCTTCCTCTCCATTGTTCCAAAACCGAATGAACTGACTCCGGCCCTTTTATCGATCTATTGAAGCTTCTGATTGGTGTGTTATCAATTGTGCCTCCTTGTGTTTCCACCTGGGTAGCTGTGTGCCAATTGAGCTCAACCTGTGCTGATTGAGTGAACAATATTGAATGTTAGTGCTTTCTCAATGACCACATGGTGTAGGCAATGAGAAATGAAGGGATTTGTGTGTAGAGTTTAGAGAAATGGGTGTGCTTTTTGAAAAATGGAGTTATGTTTTTGAAATTTTAGTTCAATAGCCTGGTTATAGTGTTCAAGCAATTGAGAAAAACTGTGATAAGCTTCACAACAACTTTTTGCAAAAACTGTGACCTTTCTCAAAGTGAATTTAACCAGGTGAAGGATAATAATCATTAGAAAGTATGCTGTTCATTTACATAATTAATAATGATATAATAACAACAAACTCATAAATATCCCATTCATAAAAGTTTTCAGTGGTTTTGGCAGGGATGTAAAGTCTCCAAGTCATCGAGCACATCATATCCTAATTAACGAAGAACTTTGTACAATCCTGCGACCACATTGTGTCAAGATATGGACACTCAGTTGTAAAAAAGTGGAATTTCTTTATCTCGCATCCCATTGGCAAGACTTTCTTTTCTGTTTTGAGTATGAACAGTTGTGACTGAGTTTCTGTGCTTGTGCTCTTTGAAAAAGGCCAATTGCATTTAGTTTTCTGATGCTTTAGACAGACACGTACAATATCTGCCAACACAGATGCAACTAACATGAGAATGGAGATTGTTGAGAACACATATCTATGATCAAATATTCTAAACGTAAGGTTTACTAGCTACTAGAATTTCTCCTGTGCTTTCAAGCGGTTCCCTATAAACTTCTTCAGCAAATGCAACTCCTTCAGATACTCCAACATAAACTTTGGCTACAGTTGTAACATGATCACTCAGGAATCATTACTGCTTTGTTTCATTCTGCAATAGTAAAGTATGTTTTATGTAACAACTACTCTGGTTTGGGAAACGCAGCCAATTGGTAAACAGCAAAATAAAGAGAAGACTGTAGGGCTTGTTTTTGGTGGTGAAGATGTGATGTTTTTTCTTCCCTCGTCCAAACCTGAAGCCATGGAGCCGAACCATGTCCCCATGAGGCCGTTCCAACCCCTGCTGGCATCGAACAAACTAGACAGACTAGTACACTGCGGTTCCATGCAGCCTCAAACAGCTCTTTATGTTTCATGCGTTAAACACTTATTAGGATATGCTTCAACAGCTGACTGCATTTGCAACAAACAGAGGACAAAACAAATGTTTGTTGGTTGTCGTGGTGAAAAAACAGACGAGGCAGACAGTCGGGTGACTTCATGCAAGCTTGAGGTTGCTTTGCGTAACTCACTTTGCTAGCATATTGCTCTTGGAGGAGCTGGTGTAAACCATGTGTAGACATTGGCCAACAGTGTAACCAGAGTGGGTAGATGGTGTAAATACATGAAATTCATAATTGAGTGGTTCTATTTGAGCTACACAAAGACGACACTGTTCATGGAAGACTGAATGAAAAAAGCTTTAATTATTGTTTTTCAGTCTGTCAAATCTGCAGCAGGAAGACACCCGGTGTGTTCTCAGGGTGCAGCTAAATACCCAACATGTAAACATCTATAAGAGAAAGTATTGTGGATGTAAAGCACTAAAAAGCACTTGTGTTAGAAAGAACAAAGAGAAAGAAGAGACAGATGTGGATAAGACTGTGTGTAACAGGGTCTGAAAGGTGAGAGGGAGGAAATGAAAACAGACAGGATGGAGTACAGTGAGATTGCTTGTGTGTGTGTGTGCCTGTGTGTGTGTGTGTGTGAGTGAGTGACAGTGAAAGTGTGTCTTTGTGTGTGAGAAAGAATGTAAGTAGGTTTGTGTGTGTGAAACGGAGAGAGAAACTCCATCTCTCTAAAGCTCAGTTAAGCAGATTAACAACATGCTAGCTAAAATGCTGTACGCTCTGCAGGTCAAGTAGAACCTGCTAAAAGCTGAGGGAAGTTGGACTCGCTCCCTTCAGCTAAAGATCTCAGATATTATTACCAAACCTCCGTATTCCTACACTCAGCCATTAAGAAGCTTAAAGTATATCTGATTCTAAACCTCTACGTTCAGTTCCTGCTGAATGTCACAACTCTTTTTGCCTCTCTGACTTGAATCTGTTTATTGCCCACACAAAAAAACAACAAATAGCATGAAAGATAATAAATGAAATCAGATAGTGACCATAACTTCCATCTTAATCTTAAACATAAATCTTTGCTTCACAGCCTTGATCTAAAATAAAAGAAGTCACAAGCATGATAACAACATTTGTAGTAGAACTGGAAGGATCAGTTGATCAATCAATAAATTTATCGACAGAAAAATGATCAGCAACTATCACCAATGAATCATTTTTCAACCATAATCAAAGCATTGTCATTGGCATGGGAGACTGTTGGCATGCTGAGATTTGCATTTAGCTCAGAGCCTAAGCAAAACCACACAGAGCTGCTAACATGGCTGTAGACTCCAAGTTAACTTTGTATGGTGTCTTTTGGGAGCTGACGGACACATTATCTTATGTTCATTATGTGTGGATTGGATCTGCTATTGTAAAACGCAATTAGATGCTCCTTTGCTGGTTTCTGATGATGTCCACTGTGGAGTTATTTTACCATGACCACTCATAGTTCTGTTTTTGGGAGACAAGGGGAAGTGTTTTTGGAACAGTATTGGGACAATGTCTCACTCTTCATTTACATTTACTCATTTGGCAGACGCTTTCATCCAAAGCGACTTACATTTGAAGAACAGCATAATAGCATCAACAGAGCATCAATACAGCATGAGATCTACAATTGACAGTACAACACATACTCTGTGGTCTGGGAGGAATCTTCATCATGTTGGCGGTTGGCGGTTGGCAACACAAAGCACAGAATATTTTAATCTAAAGCTCCAAACAAATTGGGGGCAGTTTTGAGCAAGAATTGCATGATTTATTACTTGTAGCAATGACACTGTTCAATATTGTGTTTAGACACGTGTAATGAATGTTGTCCTCAATTGTATAGCAAACTTTCAAAAGGGCCGATCTTTTCTCATCTCATTATAGTTCACTAACAACAAAGACAGAGGTTTGTGTATTTGTATATTATGGATGGAAGAGAGCTGAGATGATGTAGGAGGGATGGATTAAGGGTCTGGAGTGAGGGATGTGGGAAGAAGGGATGAGGCTTGAGGGATGAAGTAATGAAGGGATGAATGATAAGGGGATGAGGGATTGAAGGGTGAGGGATGAAGGGGTAAAGGTAGAGTGATGAAAGGATAAGGGGAGGAAGGGTGAGGGATGAGGAGAGATCAGGGTTGTGGATGGATGAATGGAAGAGAATGATGGAATGGTGTCAGCTGGAGGCAGGAAGACAGAAGTGAACCAGTTCAGACTCTGAGTCCGGGAGCCGTCTCTTCATTTGATGGAAATGTCAGACAGCGTTGCATTTTGAGATGGATGGTAGTTGAGTTTAGAAGCAGTGAACTCTGAGCAGCATGGAAAACCAAAGAAAGCCAGTAGGAACATGGATTCTAAGACTTTGTCGATGTATGGAAACAGCCTGTTTGCAGAGTCGGATGATGGTGAGAGGCTGGTGCCAATTGCCTGAATTTCTGGAATGAGAAACAAGAAAGTGAGTCAGCAGTAGAGTTTTGTAACCTGTGGGAGGTTTATATAGTGCATATAAGTTTGCATATGCTTTGGTATGAGGCTAATGGAAAGAGGTAGATGGGTTGAGGTAGACCAGAACGTGGGTCTTGTTGCATTTGAGATGGTAGATTAGAGTGTCGGAAGAATGGATGGAAATGTCAGAAATGGTTGTGTTTGAAGATGTATGGTATTTGAGGGTAGCAACTCTGAGCAGCACCTAAAGCCGAAGGATGCCAGTACAAACATGGATTCTAAGACTTTGCCAATGTACTGAAACAGCCTGTTTGGAGAGTACTGAGTCAGAAAATGGTCAGAGGCTGGTGCCAATTTCCTGAATTTCTGAGTGAGTCAGCAGTAGAGTTTAGTGACCTGACCTGACGGTGAGGAAGTCATGTGACTGGGCACACCTGAGGCAATGCAATCAGTTTAGCTGATGGCACCGCCATGGATCGCTGTCATGCGTACAGTCTGCGTAGCTGGTATTGTGGTGGGTGGAACCGAGGTGGCCAGAAAAAATAGGAAAGGAAAAAGTAAGAGATGAGGAAATGACGCAGGTTTGGAGGGATATATGTGGGTTTTATGTGAAGCCTGAGGGAAGATGGTGATTGTTCGAATGAATATAGGCTACTGTATAAAATATACTGTATACAAGAGAGTCACTGATAGTTAATCCAACATATAGTAAGTATTTCAAGATGTATGTGAACAAAATGGAAAGAGCAAGTAATAATAAGCAAGATGAGAATTGGGCACAGAAATCTTAACAGTACACGAAAATCACACATCATAGGAAAACATCCAACAGGTCTTTGCGATCTAAGCCATGAACCTGAGGTAGTCAAACATATCCCCGATATCATGCAGTAAACTGACACAGTAATGTATTCTAAACGTATATTGAATCTTAAGACAGTGTTTCAGCAACAACATTGTTATTTAGATTTTAAGGATTACTGGACTGGAAAGACGGCTTTAAAAAGAATGGACACTGAGGCAGAATAAAACCTGAAGGTGGCAGTAATGCAACATTGTAGATACTAAGTGCCATAAAACCTCAAAGATGAAGAAGAAAGTCCTTTGAGAGGGGCTTAAGTTGTAGTATCATAGAGCTCATGGCTAGCCCACTGACACTAACGACAACAGAAAACACGGCGAGTGAAGATAAATCAACGTTTTAATCCCAAAAATTTAAGTAAAAAGTTGATTTAATAAAAGCAGTTAACTCTGAGCAGGTGAACAGCGTAGTTGTCAGAACAGAATCCAGTCTGACTGAGGGTGTTTTATATGTCTTCATAAAGCTCCAGCGCTGCCCCGGCTCTCTCTTCCACAGCTTCCTGTAGCTCAGCAGCTGTCTGTCGGCCAGAGGAAATTCACGTGGTATTGCAACACAGGATGCACAGGGGCTAGCAGGTTAGCATGCTAACTTCAGTAGATATCTCTGCAACACAATACATAGACATCTTTGACAGGATGTCAAAGTCTTCACATTCTGTTAATCATGTAAGTTCCTTTAATTAATGTTTAAAGTAAAATGCTGGCCAAATCTTACACTTTGTACCTTGAATGGCTATATTCGGTATTTTTCAAGTCCAAGAGTCCAATATTGAGCACGCGTGCTGCAGCCTGCAGCAGTGACAAGGGAGTCTAGTGGCTTTGACCGTTTTTGGTTAAACAAAAAGGATCTTACTCTTTAAAAGGTTGTTTGTCTATAGGGATCATTTCCATAATGTCAGACACTTACATACTTTTAATGTTGCCTTGTATGACATTAGTATATTAGTATTATCCTCCCACTGTCTTTCTTTACTGCAGTGATATCAAACTCAGTCTTGATTAAAAGTCTAAAACCTTTTTTTATCTCTTCACCTCCCTGATGTTTCCATGTGTCACACAGAGCTGCTGTCCACTTCCCACCATCAGGCTTGTTCCCACCACTGGATACAGCAGGGAAGGAGAACGCTGAGGTTTGGCATTACTGGATAAAGATTTAATGCTGTGCGGTTGAGGATGATGTTTCGGTGCTGGATCCTGTGTAGAGGTTAGTTTTATTTCCAGTGAATGATTTCTGTCCAATATTATATATTGCTGGGTAATTTAATCTACAATAATAATCCCTAGTTATATACTTAATGTAAAGTAACTAGTAACTAAAACTTTAGTAATATAGCGCATTAAAAAGTACAATATTTCTCACTGAAATGTAGGTGAGTAGAATTAGTAGCAGTAAATGGAATTATTCAAGTAAAGTACAAGTACCTCAAAATTGTACTTTCCACCACTGCAGCTGTTGTCCACATGTTTATAATGAAGACCAGCTCTTTTAGAGTCACCTCAGGTAACAATGTTATTATATTGTTTTGTCACCCTCCAGGTTTCAATTCTTCTTCTTTATTCGGCAGGGTATGACAGTACGTTCTTGTTGTAATGGAGCATAACAAATCCATTTCTACATGTTGGTCAAAGCCATTTCCTCCTGTTGCATATCTCCCACTTCCTGTTTTCCTTCTTTAGGACCTTCAGGTAACCAGCTGCCATCAGCGCCAGGCTCTTCTCAGAATAGACGTACAAAGGTTCAGATAAGTGCAACCACCTTCTTAAGCAAAATACTGCTCTGTAAAGATAATAATCAGATGAAATAAAGAGAGGAAACCATTAGTTATGGGCTGAAAGAGCTGAAGACAAACCTTCACCATGTTTTGAAATTTCTGGTGTTACTTTGACAACAGTTTTTGAGCAAATAGCCTGATTATAACATTAATATGAATCTGTTGTTATTTTATAATTGTAAGGTATACTGTAGTTTTTACTTTGAAGACAAATTAATTGTATTTGAAGTTCATGCTCACGTGTAGCCAGATGGGTTGAGTAAAAGTGTATACAGCTTATGCAGTGAGGGGACAGACAGAGGAGGTCCGTTTGAGTTCAAGATGAGTTCCAAAGTAACAAATGCAAGGTTCAACAAACACAGCTGGAGATCAACTATGTTAAGAAGGGGTAAAGGCGTGAACTGTAAGCAATGGTAAGTATAACAGTTTTCAAATTTGCTGATCTGCTCTGTTGTTCTAGAGAAGCTGGAGTTGTCCATCTTCTGAAATCTTTTGACATAAACAGTATATTTACTTTTTTGTCATACTCCCTGTGGCTGTGGTTCAGGCACAGTTTGGTGGTTTGAGCCCCAGCTCCACATGTTGAAATGCCCTGACCGGAAGGACTGTCCCTTGCATGGATTTGTGGGTTACTGAGAACCATTGTCATAGTCGGGTTGAAAAGCACTGCACAAATGCAATATACTTACTGTATTAACAACTGTTTGCTTGTCTGTGTGCTTGTATGTATTTTTTGACATTTTTCAGTGAATAAACATGGACAACATGGAGTTTTACACGCTACACTATATTTTTACACTGAATTGCTTAAAGGATAATTCTGAAATTTTACAACCTGGGCCTTCTTTTTAAAAAACATATTTAAGGAATCTAAGTGACTAATAATAACAAACATTTTTGGAATTGGTCCAGAAGATCGCCTCAACTGGCAGCTGCAAAACGCGTTGCAGTGGCTGCAACGTAATCCTTGCGGGCAATTGAGATTGTCAAAGGTATGTCCACTAAAAGTGCTTGATTTTGCCACTGACAAGCTTAGGTTGTTATTGAGTGTCTGACTACATTATGGAGATATTCCCTACATAGATATACCTTTTTGTTAAAAAGTAAAATCCTTTCTTTTTAACCAGAAACACAAGTCTCGCTCAAGAATTATCACTCTGAAATCTTGTGAGAAGTGAGTTGTTGCAGGAAGACGACAGAGGAAACGTGAACCAATAAGTCGTTGCTATGTTGACACTCAAACAATCTCAGCCCATCTGTGGCAAAAACAAGCCCTTTCTACGATCTACTGGACCAATTCCAAAACGTTTTGCACCTACTGGTCATTTTTAAATATCTAGAAATAGGTTTAAAAATAAGTGAGCATTTTCAAGAAATAAATCATCCATTTGTTTCAGCTGAAATTACATGACCTTGTGTTTGTTCCCATAGAATTTACCAGGTACTGGTTGCTGCAGGTCTATATCCCACCCACTGCAGCCTCAGGAGAAACAGCTGCTTGATCACTATCAAATATTCCTTAAAACACCCTTCACCTCTTAACGACACACCTCCTGCTCTGCTATTCACTGCTTGACTACAGCACAGCTTTTTAAAGTCATAAGCCTCTTTCACACACACAAACACAACAAAAAAGCCGTCCTGCTGTCAAGCACTCTAAATCACTCAACAAAATAACCCCCCCCCCCCCCGCCTTCCCCGTCCCCCTCATCGTTGTCTCCATCTCCTGCAGCTCCACCATTGTCTTTGGCTGGGCCGAGCAAAAGGCTTGCTGCTGCCGCTGAGTGTTTGTAGAGACACAAAGAGAAAAGTATCAGTGTGGCTGAACAGGGAAATAAAAACAGAGAGGAGGGATGAGTTTGGGAGGGGTTAAGTGCATTTTGATGGACTTACTGGAGGAGGTAGGTGGATGGTTAAATGATGCGTGTCAGGTTGTACGCTCACCAAGCCTGTGTCAAACCCAGCTGATTTAATGTCAGTCATGCTAGACAACATTAAGTTACATAACATTAAACATCTTAGCTTCCACAGACCCAACAAGCCATCCAGAGATGTGACTTTCCTCTAACCTATTTTGCAGGAGTGCGGCTGTGCATGGAGATTAAGCCCGATGTCACATGTAGCTGTAAGCAAAGTCTGTCTATTGTAGTTATTTTTATGTCAGTCAAGCATGTTCTTTCTCTTTAATCTCTCTGTGGTTGGGTTCTCATTTACCACAAAGCCATTAAGAGCTATTGAGATACAGGGGAGAGCAAGAGCAACAAAGACAGTATTCAGATCCTTTGGAATATTTATATATTTTGAGGATGAATATAACTTTACATGAGAGACCTGCAGTTCTCCTGATCCCTTTTAAAGTAGTACCTTTATGCAATATGTATATTGTTATCTGTTACATACTGTTAAACAGGTCATAGTGAATTAAAACATAGAAAAAGGAAATAGATTAAAATACACTTTTGAGTAATCCTGCCTCCCTCCCAAACAAAAAAAATAAAATAAAAAAGTGTTTGGCTTTTTTACATGTTTGCTTGTGTATCACAGCTCCTGTTGAAGAAGAAAAATAAATGAGTTAAATTATGAGAAAATCTAATTTCTTTTTATAAAGCAATTTACTGAACATTCTTAAGTAAAAAAAATGGGAGGAATCTCTTATAAAGCAGCTCCAGATTGATGAAATCTATTTGCTGCTGTAACAAAGGATTAACTGGTGTTTGCATGCAGGAATGAGGTCAGTTTCTGAACTCGGTGAGGCTCAAGAGATGATAATCTCGGGAATTATGGTGGGTGAGAGACACAAAGTTGACAAGAAGTTTAAATAATGGAAGTCATGGACTCAGGTTGCACTCAAAAAAGCATTAGTTGGTGCTCTTGTGCATGGGAGCAGGAGCAATGTGATGGTTTGATAAAATGCTATAATGCTTATAATGTTATTGGTCGCATGGCTAATTTTTGAATGGCCCATTAACATCTGCCTGTTCAGTTATCAAAACACACCCATCTGGCTAAAGTATTTTCTTCTGTTTTGAACCTTAATGAAGACCCACCAAGGTTTAAACTGGAATGGTTCTCAATCAGTCCACCAGTTTAGATCAAACTGAAGTATAACAACTATTTGATTTTGTGCAGATTTTCAAGGTTCCCAGAGGATGAATCCTAATGATGTTTCTTATTCTCTGACATTTTCTCTTTCACCACCATGAAGTAAATATGTGGTTTTTAGTAAAATGTCCTGACAACCATTGGATAGATTGCAATGATATTTGGTACAAACATTCATTCCCCCCTCAGGATAAACTGTAATAACTTTGGTGATCCTTTTGGGACTACATACCTGCAAAACAGCTGTACTTTGTCTGTTGTCTGTCTATTTTTAATTAGCAAATCGCACTCTTAACTAAGAATGTGAGCCACGCCATCAATAGTACAGACAGTACAGTTGTGTATGTGTGCACTTGCTGTTTATTTTTTTTATCTTAGCTTGTCTCCATGTTTACTTCATTCATATATTTGTATATTTAACTTGCCTAGAACATGACTTATACTGTAAATATTTCTCTGAATTGTCTCTTTTTCTGTCTTTTTATTTTATTCATTTAAATTAAATCGATGATTAAAATTATTAATTAAAATATCGTAGATTTTCACAATAAATGCTACAAGAAAATAAATGGGTAATAACCTGTAGATGATGTGTTACCCTGTTTGAACCAACTGTAAGCTGTAAACCATTTTCAGACTTTACTTAACATGTCCCTATTGTCAATAGCCAAATCTTCGCCTGTGGTTTACAGCTTGTTATGATGCCACAAAGTGTTTAACAAAACTACTAATGCAGATTATCAACTTTAAACAAACCATCAGCTCTTCATATCCAAGTTCTGCATTTAGTTTATCAATATAATCCCCTTCTCTTCTCAATTTACACCACCTCACTGGGGCTGATCATTCGCTCGCACGGCTTCTCTTACCACTGCTACGCAGACGACACGCAACTATACCTATCCTTCACGCCAGGCGATCCCACTGTCTCGGCGCAGATCACGGACTGTCTATCGGACATATCTGCATGTATGAAGGCTTGCCACCTTCAACTAAACCTCTCTAAGACTGAACTCTTGGTCATTCCAGCCAAGCAATCTATCCACCATAACATCAAACTACAAATTGACTCCTCAACCATCACTCCAACCAAGGTGGTGAGAAACTTGGGTGTGATGATTGATGACCAGCTGTCCTTTTCAGACCATGTTGCTGCTGTCTCTAGGTCGTGTCGCTTTGCTCTATTCAACATAAGGAAAATCAGGCCCTAACTCACTCATGGTTATCTCTCGCCTCAACTATTGCAATGCCCTCCTAGCAGGTCTTCCAGCTTGTGCGGTGAAACCCTTACAAATGGTTCAGAACGCAGCAGCGTATCTGGTTTTTGATCAGCCCAAAAGGAATCATGTCACTCCATTACTCAGTGACCTCCACTGGCTCCCCGTGGCCTCCAGAATCAAATTCAAGTCACTAATGCTTGTATACAGAGTGACTACTGGGTCTGCACCCATCTACCTAAACTCCATAATACAAACGTACTTACGTTCCTTCTCGTCCGCTACGCTCCTCCAACGAACGCCGCTGCCATCCCTTCACACAAAGCAATCCCAGTCCTGGCTGTTCTCATCTGTGACACCACGATGGTGGAACGAGCTACCACACGCCATCAGAGCAGGGGCGTCCCTCTCTAACTTCAAGAAGCTCTTGAAAACTCATCTCTTCCGAGAACACTTCCTCTTATAACACCTCTAACTCCTAACCTCTAATATGCACTTCCTGTGCTCTTCTTCTATCCCCTACAATGATCTTGTATAGATTGCACTTTTTGTTTTGATTGCACTTTTTGTTAACTCTTACTTCCTTCCCTAGGTATCTACCCCATTGATGTGATATGTACTGTGAGCTCTTACTAGTATTTATTGCTGCTCTTACTAGTATGTTTTGTCAGTTGTAGATCTGTAGTTGATGCTCTGTTGATGCTTGTATGTTGTTCCTCAAATGTAAGTCGCTTTGGATAAAAGCGTCTGCCAAATGAGTAAATGTAAATGTAATAATAATAATAATAATTCTTAATAATGTGTTCAAGTGTCTGCTCTTGGGATGAAACTCTTGTTCAGTATGCTCTTCAGTGCTCTTTTCACTTCTGAACTAAGCTCATTGGAATTATGGAGCTTTCTGAGTAGATACTGAAATGCTTCTTTGAGAAAAGAGAGAAAGACATTAATAGGCTGAAAGAGGAAATGGGAGGTTCATGGAAAGGTATAGAGGCAGGGGTAGATGGGGGCCACTGTGCTGATAGTAAATCTGGTTTTATTATTCAATTACCATTAAGAGAACAGGCTCATGCTTCAGTGAATGGACCAGCAGAGAGAGCTTAAAATCATTGTGCAGTCTGATAGTTTGATGATTTGCCACACCACTAACAGGCAAGTTAATAATTTTTCTTCTTTATTTAACCTGGTTAGTCCCACTAAGATCAAGAATCTGATCCTCAAAGGAAGCCAAGACTGCAATTAAAAGAGAGAAACATATCAGTACTGAACTTTTTAATGCACCACAGTAGGACAGGTGAGATTTCTGGCAACTACCGCAGCTTGTGTTTTGTTGACTGTGCAAGACAGGCACCCAACATAAAAGAAATAAACAACCATCACAAGACTAAAGCCAGTAAAGTTTCATTCAAGTCTGTGTAAAGGCGGTCTGACTTCAGAGGGAAAGCAA